GTTTTAAGGAAACGGGCATCCAGGATTTGGAGTACCCCCCCCCCCCCCCCCTCCCCCCCGTCCGCTGGACTGGTGGGGTGTGAGACATTCAAGATGTTCATCTAGCGACCCCGCCTGTTAGTATGATGCTGGTGGAAGAATCTGCATATTCTGTGTGTGTGTACTTTGTTTCTTTGTTTCGTCCTTGGTGGATTGAGAGATTGAGAGGGCTATAGCAAGGTCCACAAGCGGCAGGATTTCGGTAGGCTCGATGCACCCCTGTAGTGGTGGGGGATATCGGGATGGGTTATCTTGATCGGCCGGCATGAGGGGTTTCTATGTCCTTGCACGATATCGGGATATCTTCGTGCGCCGAATGAGGGGGCTCCGTGTCGTAGGTGTAGCAAGCGGCTCTAACACGTGCCTTCGGGTACCAGGGAACGAACGGCGGCTCCCAGACACACGACAGGTCCTAGCCGGCGCGACTATGTACGCCTCTCACTGACACACTCTAACCACTTGTGGTCTCCCTGATCTACCGGTGTGGGGCAGGAGTTTGTGGCATGGCATCTCTTCCCAGGGGATGCTTTCCGTCGGTCCCCTCGGAGACGACTCCGAAGCTCTTAGGCTGGAGGCGATGGCCGGGGGGGGAGCCAGCGGCGGCGGCAGCGGCGGCGGCGGCAGCAGCAGCAGCAACGCCCGCTCGATTCACGCCATACGCTGCTTCAACGCGCAGGTGAGCAGGGGTATTGCTTGGTTCTGCGTACCGCACGGCCGTGCTGCGAAGGAGAAGATAAGGGAGAAGGGAGAGACACATGACGCACGAGAGGTTCTGCACCGAACGAAACTGAATGGTGTTCGCACACTTGGCCGGTGGCCATTGCAGCCTTTGTTGCAAAACACATTCATGTATTTTGCTCTTCTGGCTGATGGCCGGTTTGTTGTTGTTGTTGTTGTTGTTTTCACCATCTGTTCTCCCCTGATACGCCGAACCTTCTTTCTGTGTTTGTAGACGCACTTGTCCGCAGTGGACCTCTTGCGAAACGGCCGCCTGGGAGACGACGACGGCGACGATGACGGGAACGGGAAGGCGTTGGCTACAGCCACTGGTGAGCGGGGGGTGCGGCCAGAGAGAGAGAGAAAAGGTGCACGCAGGTTTCTGATCGGCGGATCGTTTCTGAAAGGAAAAACCGGGCTGGTGAAGATTCCTCGTTTGGCCGTTGAGGTGCGGTGCATGGTCCGGTCTGCGGGCTTCGTACGGGCATGAGGTTTCATGCCGGGCATACATAATGACACCGGTTGACTCGGTTTGATGGTAGCAATATTGTCGTTGTTTTGCCGTGAGTAGATTGTCTCTATCATGTTGTAGTACGGCGTTCGTAACATGTATCAAGGACCAGTGGGGTATTTTGGGTGTAGTGCACTAATAGGGAGGGTGATCTTGGCGTACGACAACGGCCCCGTGGTTGATTTGTTGGTAGCTCCTTGGTGTGCTCATCGCATCTGGGCGCCGTGAATTTCGCGTGGTAATAGTTCTCAAACAACAGCCAAACCACAAAAAAAAAACAAAACGCGAACAACAATCACCACCACCATAACATCGACAACGACAACAAGAACATACGCCCCCGAGTGCGGTTGTTCCAACAACAACACAAGGCAGCCATGTTTATTGCACTCTCTGACCGACACACCACGCCCTTCCCCACGTCTCCACCTCCTGCTAAACGTCAAGCCGGCAACGCTCTGGGTAGAGGCAGAGGCCTGCTCGACCTGGACTCCGTCCCCGTCCTTCCTTTCCTTCTTTCGGGGGGTTTCGCCCCCGACGACTGCAACAACAGCAGCAGCAACAACACTAGCATCAACAGCAACAGCAAAAGCAGCAAAAACGGCGGCAGCAGCAGCATCATCATCAGCAGCAGCAGCAGCCGCAGCAGCAGCAGCGGTGAGCGCGTGTTCGACCTGTGCCTGACGCGTCGGGAGCGCAACGCCGAGGTTTCCCAAACGGTGGAGGCTTTCAGGCTCAACCGAGACCAGGCCCGTCTTCTCTGGCGCTGTGCGACCTGGTTCCGCCCCGCTGAGGGCACCGGTGAGAGTGTGCAAACAGGCGTTGCGGTGACGGTAGTTGATGGCAGTCACTTGGAGAGGTAGGAGTCGCTTGGAGCACATCATCATCGGCTGAGCGACTCACGATAGTCCGGGCTGTGATGTGACTGACGACCAACGCAGGTGACAATGGCGACGACAGAAGCGACGACGACGACAAGGACGGTGCAGGAACTAGAGAGAGAGACGAGGAGGAGAAGGAGGAGGACCAAGAGCAGGGCCGTCCGACGGAGAAGGGAGGAGGGGGGATGGCAGGAGAGGACGGCGCCCCGGTTGTTCTCGTGCACGGCGTGTTCGGTGAGAGGGGGGCGGGGGCGGTCTTGTCAGCGCTCTCGGCTGTGAAAGTATTTTTTTTTTTGGTGAATGGAATAGACATGTTCGCTGCTTCACGATTTTGCCGCTAGTTTACTCAATTGATCATGAGCCAAGCAACAGCTTGTGCGGCAGGAATGAACCTGAACCTGCATTTTTCGCCGAGATTCACGTGCAGCAATTCACTAGCTTCCCAGAACAGTCCTCTCTCCCCGCTGGGCGGCATGTCTCGCTCGCTGCAGCTCTCGTCGATGCCGTCCAACCCTCACCCTAAACCTTTCCTCCTACCCCTGCCCCCCCTCCTTACTGCTTCCGCTCATTGCCGTCCTTTTTCGCTCCTACCCTAATGGGCTGACGACGCTATCTCACATCGTTCGGATGCACCCGCGCGGGGTTTGTTTGCCGTCCACCATCACCATAAACATTACAACCGGCAACGACGACGTTCGCGACAACGACCATGTTCACGGCGGCGGCGGCGGCGTGCTGTAACACGATTTTCGCGTGCCGACGTTGGTGCCCCCCCTGGTTCTTCCTCTTCTCCTCTGTCTCTGACCAGGCGCTGGAAAGTCTCTTACTCTGGTAAGCGGGTTGTAGCTACGTGTGTTTCGCTTTTCGTCACCCCCATGTGTTGACCGTCGTTGCTAATTAAGGTTTGACCCGACCGAACGGCCTCGCCTCTTTCAAGTTGAAGAGCCCCTATCTGTGGAACACAAAAGGAGTGACACAACACGGACGAACCTTCCTACAGGAGTGTTACACCAGGTAGCTCTCGCCCTTGACCCGGTGCTGCTGTAGAGTTTTGGACCTCGCGACCCCTTCGCTCCCTATCGGGGCTTTGAATAGCGGTACGTACCACGGTGTTTCCACGAGACTTGGCGGTTCTTGTCTCCTTTGTGGGTGTACCACGATTCAGCACAACGGCGTATGCATATGAGAGGTTTCAGGGCACGGCTTCTCAACTACCGGACGATCGCAAAAGTTTGTGTGGTTGTTATATCATGAGTATGGCTTAAGAAACGAACGTTGCCCTGGCTCCTTGAACCCCAAATGATTGAGTGGCGTTGCCTTACCTTGTGGCAGGCCTGCTTGCTACTACGTATCAGTGCAGGACGTTCCTGCTTCCCTCCTGGCCTTGTCGGGCGTGGAACGGCCACTGGCTGCCGGTTTTGATGTCTCGTTCAATGAAAAGTTCGCTCCATTTCGCTCCCCTTGTTCTCTGCCGCGGGGTATGATTTTAATGAGAAATCTTCCACAACGGTGCCGGCTCACTCGCAAGTGACAAAACAAACTATCGCTCTTCACACCTGCTCTCTGTTTCAGAAGAAGAAAACGTGGCTCCCATGTCTGAATGAATGATCGAGGGGTTTCGCCACTCTTTCGATCCAATCGCATTTTCAATATCCCACCGCTTTGTTTGTTTCACGTTTGGTGTTTTGTTCATGCGTGGGTTGAAAGGCCGGGTGTGATGATCGGTAACGTCGATACGGATCAATATGTAACGGCACTTTTTGTCTTTGATATGCACTCTTGCCTCTTGCGTATCCAAATCTTGCGATTTTTCTTGGTCTCTGCGTGAGTGAGAAGGTGGCACTGTGCGTGATGGTCGACAGGATAGCTACCGAGGATGCACGCTTGAGACCGTCACGTGGCCTCCCCCCCAGGCCAAAGGCGGAACAAATCAGGGTTCTCCTCGCTTCCGGTACCAACGTCGCCGTGGACAGGTCTGTATCTACGTAGATTTGCTCTACATTTGTTTTGAAATGAAGGTGTGATTTATTGTTCAGTGAGCCTGCCTTTTTTTTGTCTGGAATTTTCTCCGTTACATATGCGTGAGTGTGCAATACTTTGCGATATATATAAAATAGCAATGAACGAATGCATTATTGTTTATTACTATTCTTCAAGTATTTGAAGAATTTGCTCTGGCATTGAGTCTGCTTCAATGAACACGCATTAATTAACAACGAATGCGGAATTTTTCCAGAGTCAGATTGATTGCTCTTTTTGTTTCATGACCGTTATCGTAATGATCATACGTGATATCCACAATGAAGATGCGCATTGCAAGTGTTGGTTCACCCCGAGGCTTGTATTTGTTTTCATTCGTATGCTCGTTATCAACGATGAATTTGCTCCTATTAATAGTGTAGATGAAGGCCCTTTTTCACAATGAAATCGTGCTTTGTTGAAGGGTGAATGTGCGTGTTTGCGCTGGAACTTGCTCTTTTTTCGGTGTGAAAAGTAAAAGTTCTCTTTTTCTCAATAACTTTCTCTTTTGAATGGTGAAAGGTGTTAATTTTGAGCTCTATACTTACTATTTTTATAAATTGTTACTACTGAATATGCTCTTTTTCACAATATCTTGCTGTGTTGTCTTTGGTAATGAAATCTCTTTTCAGAATGAACTTGCCTCTTTTGGAGCGGATGAGAAATTTTGTCACAGTACAGTTGTCTCTTCATAGTAAGGAAGTGTTATTTTTCTGAATGGACCTCTTCTGTTGTAGTTTTGATCCCTATTCGTCCATAACGGACGGCTGGTGCTTTTTGTTTTGCCTCTTTATACCATCAGAATTGTAAACGTAAACGGGTTGGTGGTTGTTATTATTCAAGCAACTACCAATGCTGTGCTTGCTTTCGGAGACGTTGATTTTCCTTTGGGATCCTGAATATTACATATGCAACGAAGCGACACCAAGCGCGTGGAGGCCAGGTAGAATTGGACGCCACGCCCCAGCAAAATGCCAAGGCCGCGGTTCATCAACTTGTCATATCTTTGATGAGAGCATAACTTTCTTCGGTTTTCTCTTCTCTTCTTGGCCTTCGTTGATTTTCGTAGCGATCCTACTTTTCCGCACATACATGCATTAGGTTTGTTCTCGCATCTCAAGGGAGAAGCGCGCTTCTCGTGTCTGTTTCATGAAGGCTGCATCAGAGGGAGTGTTTGAGCCGACAGAAAGTGCACGTCTTCAGATCGCTGACGACCCGATTATGTTGTAGAAGTGAGTAGTACATGTTGTGAAAGTATCACCAACTTCACACCACAGTTTGCGATGATGATGCAAGGGACAACGAGATCATTGCAATGGTTAAAGTGAAAAATGAATGGCAGCATGCAAATTGCAGAAGCACATTAGACCAAGTCACCGCGGCTGATTAGTTGGTGATACGTATGCGTTCCTCTCTGTAACATCTCCAAGGTTCGTTTGCCGTGGATACGACGCACACATAGACAACACCAAGAGTATAAAAGTGATAAGATCACCTCGAAATACTGTTTTGGTGTGAATATCGTCTACAGTTGTACGTATTGTATTTGTTTTGCTTTCGTCCTTTCGGTTTGAGTCTTTCCATTCCTAGCATAGCCCGAAGGGATAGGACTCGACCGCCGGTGAGTCCCTCCGACGGGTAGGATGCTGACGACACTTGCTCGTCAAAGCGTGGCGCGCCTTCATAGCCTTGTTCATCATTATTGGGCCATATGCAGCATTCATAGGTATTCAAGTATCCCAAGAGTTTCAGTCTGAATCGATATCGACAACTTACGTACATGCTTACACGCATGCAGCGTTTGTGTGTCCGCTCGCTTCGCGCTCCCTTCATGCCCGTCCACGCCTCCTTGCGGCTTCACACCCCCTGTCCTATTCGTTTCACTCCTGTTATTTGTGTTGCATATTTCATACCACTCCAAACCCATACCATGGGTATCTTCAATATTAGCATCTCGCAGACTCACTGACGGGCTTACCAAAGACAAAACGTCAGGCTCGCCACGGCTGTGTGTGTTTGAACGTTGTCGTGTACCATATGTGTTTTTCCCCGTATTCTGCCTGGCACTGACGGCAGGGTTCTCATGGGACTGGTGTCGGCGGGTTTTGACGACATCGCCCGCCTCGGCTCACATCGCCGGACGCACAAGTCTCTCCTCGACCGGGTCGTGCACAGCAGCCCCCCTGGGCGCGACGCGCAAAAGGTTCGTTCGCATCTAACGGATGCGAATAGACTACTAAGAGTTAGAAAGCCTACTCCTACTAGCATATCAAAACAACGTTGGGAACCACAAAATAGGCAGGTTCATCGTTGTTGAACGTGTCCGTAGCCTAGAGTTGACAATATATATTTTCATGAAACTCTTACCCTCACGACCTGTCTCAGTGTTTGATACATTCTCTCTCGCGGTGCCAAAACCGAAACACATTTTATCGCATGATTGGTGACTTATGCCGCACGAGTCTCTCACGAGCAGGGTTTGCATATTTGGCGACGGTTTTCGATCGGAAGACTACCCCCCCCCTCAAAACAAAACAGGTCGTTGTTCCCTATCCATTGGAAGTGTCAAAGTTCATGTTTCGAGTGGGAATCACCCCGCCCCCAGCATCAAAGTGGAACGGATCCGCGTTCAGATGTCGGACGCTGTCCTGCTGAGGAGGGTTGCCGGCCTCTACAGTCGAACACGTGCTTCCGAAGCTTTATCCTGGTTACCTGATAGCGCGCTGAGCTCTGCAACCTGTTGTTGTGTTGTTGTTGTTGACGTTGTTGTTTCATAGATCAAATCAATTACGTACCAATTGATGAACTTCACACCTTTACAGGCAGTGCAGAGTGAGCTCCAGGCCATGCTCAAGACGGCTGTTGGAGCGGACAGGGACGAGATAGGGCGGGCGCTGCAGGCGTCGAAGGCGGAAAGCTTCACGACAGACCAAACCAAACGGTGAGAGTAGTTGCTCATGTTGTTGCTGGTGCTGCTGTGGTTGTTGTTGTTGTTGTTGTTGTCACCTGCACATGAAGAAGGCCGTTCAAAAGCCTTCCAAACCCCACAACATCGTTTCATCGTTTCCCTGAGTCCGCCACCGTCCTGTTACATAGGTTGCGCGAGGCCCGCGTGACCGGCGTCACCTGCGCGTCGGCGACGGTACCCTTGCTCACAAGACCGCCCCGGTCGCCGCGCCCCCTCCCACGGGGCGGCGTTGTCAGCGGCGGCAACGGCAGCAACGGTTCCGTTGCAGCGCGAAAGACCGGGGTCGCCACGGGGGGCACCAAGACGGCTGGTCCATGGAAACGTCCGGCCGGGGTTGCCGGGAGCAACGGTCGTCTTTTAGGGGGGGGAAGGGGAAGCGCGGGGGCGCGAGGTTGGAGCGGGGGCGGCGGCGATGGAGGTCGCCGCGGGTACGATATCGTCGTTCTCGACGAGTCCTCGCAGATCGTGGAGCCGATGAGCTTGCTGCCGGTCGCCGTTGCGCAGCCGCGGAGGCTCGTGCTTGTGGGAGACCCGATGCAGCTCCCGCCTCCGGTAGCTCGTGCAAGGGTGAGGGGACGGGTGATGGAACGTGCGAGGGTTAGCGCGAGCGGGTTGGGGTGTTGGGGCGGACGCCAGTGTCTCACGGGGACATGGAGGGCGGCGTGCGGCTGGCTGTGCTACGCATGTTGAGGGGAGAAAGGGGGTGGTGGTGTAATGTGTGTAGGAGCGCATGTTGAACTATTAATAGTTTAGCCACAAAAAATTGTATTTGTCATGATTTATTATAAAAATGCGCACATTTCCGACCTCGACGAAGATCTGAAACGTTTCCTGGGTGGTGTGTGGCAGACGACTGCATGAAGAAAGGCCTTGACGGGGAGGCTGCGAGAAGACCGTGCCCCCCTGTGTCGCCCAAGGGATGCTCGTTGATTCCACGCCTTTTTCGTTGTCGCCACGCAGTCGACCGTATCAGCCGAACATCATCAGAATCAGCAGCAGGAGCAGGAGCAGCACCACCACCATCACCAACAATCACAGCGACAGATGCCCAAAGATGCGTGGCTTGAGAAAGCTAACGCTCGCCCGGGGAACGGGGACACCCTAGAGAAGACCCTGTTCGTTCGCCTGGCCAAGCTCGGCGTTAAGCCCCTGCTCCTAGGCCGGCAGTACCGCTGCCACCCGCAGATGTCGGCGCTGGCAAGCCGCCTCTTCTATCAGGGCAGGTATGCCACTTGTGGGTTGGGTTGGGTTGGGTTGGGTTGGGTTGAGTTGAGGCGCGTAGGTGGAGGCGCCGTCCTCGTGATGGTGATTAATGGCGAGCATTCGGTCAACGGTATTGTTGCTGTTGGTTTTGTTTCGTTACCGCCGTCCGCTTGTACACGAGCGTGCTGGTTCGATGAAATTCGCTGAAAACATTTGTCACTTTCGCGCATTCTCCTCCCCCCTCCATACGCCTTGCTTCCCGACACGCCACCCCGTTTTCTCAAACTCCATGCGCACGGTTCCCTGAACTCTTGTTTGGCCACACCACGTTCACCACCGCCGCCGACGCCAACGTCATCAAACACAACAACGCGCCACCGCACTATTTCCAACTCGGTGGACAATATTTTTCGCTGTCACAATCCCCACACCACAACCACCACTACTACCGCCGCCGCCGTCGCCGCCGCCGCCACCAAACACAAGGTTGACGGATGGCGTTGCTGCGAGAGACCGGGGGCCGCTAGTGTCAGGCCTCGCGCCGTTGACGCTCCTCGACGCCGCCGGAAGGGGCGCCGAGAGCACGGCCCCCGGCGGCAGCATCAAGAACGCCTTCGAGGCCCGCGCGGTGGCGGACGTCGTGGCCTCCCTGCTGCGCGCCGGGTCTAGCGGCGGCGGCGGCGGCGGCGGCGTTGGCGGCGGCGGTGTGTCCGGGGCCAACATCGGGGTCATTTGCCTATGTACGTCGGACCGAAGGGGTACAGCCGTGGTTCGAGGTTTCTCATGAGTTGTCAAGGCTTACTGTTTGGGGCGAAGGAGTCAGCTTCGGATGTCTTGAGAATTTTCATGTGGCTTTTGGGGACGGCTGAAGGCTGAACCCAGCGAGCGCCGCCTGTCTGTCTCGTAAGGCTGGCCGCAGGGCTACGTAGCAGTTTGCACGTGACAACAGCGTGAAATAGCAGTGTACGACCAAGGTTTGGTGCCCTTTGCCTCGTGCCCTTTCCATGATTCCGCTGAACAATTGGTGCCTTGTGTGTGTGTGTTTGTGTTGTATTTTCGAATTAGCATCGACCACGCTATTATAGCCGGCTGGCCGATAAAAAGAGGTAAGTCTTAGAAGCGGAACATAAAACGCGAACACGTTTTCGAGTCACAGAGTTCTACCAACAGGAGGGGGCAAGGGGTTGGGCGACAGCAGTGTTCTGCTTCTGAAGAGTTGACGTGTGGCGTGTACCCCCCGCTCAACCGTTCTTCCGCTCGATGATCAGACAAGGCGCAGCTGGCACAAGTCCGCCGTGAGCTCGAGTCGGCGTCTTGCGCCACTCCCGGGGCTGCTTCGATTCCATCGTCTTCGTCATCACCGGATGATGGTGTTCAACCTGGGGGAGAAGGACGGGATGAAGGACAGCAAGGCGGGGCTTCTTCGGTTTCTTCGTGTTGCCGCGACGTGCAGGTGTGTGCGGAGCAAAACAAAGAGCAGAGGACGGCGACATTATGTTCGCTCTTGTTTGTAGGCGGAAGTAGAAATATTAGCTGCTGAATTGTTTTCATGCTGGTGGTCGTTTTTTTTTTCTTGAAAAGTCACCATGCTTGACTCCAACGACACCATAATAATGTGTGAAGATGATACTTGTTGAAGGAGACTTACCCACTTCCCCAAGTCTTTGCCCTTCCTTTTGCGATTCCGCCGCGCACAGGTTAGCACGGTGGATGCATTCCAGGGAGCCGAGAAAGACATCGTCATCGTCGCCTCCACGCGCACCGAACGCCTGGGTTTCATAGTAAGGTAGGTGTATCTATACGTAGTAGATCACAGGGAGAGATGGAGGTGGCTGGGCCATAGCGAGGTATGGGGGCGAATGTTTTCGACCATTAGTTGTTGTTACGACGATTGCCCCAAGGCGAGACTATTCGTATTACGGCAACAGCTCCTGCCACCACTGCTCCTTGCGCGACGCCGAGAACAACTCCTATTACTCCTCCTCCTCCTCCTCCTCCTCCTACTACTACAACGACGACCATGTCGGCACTATTGCCGGTGCTCAAGAAGAAAAATAGGAAGGAGCGGAAAACTAGTTGTTCACGATGAGATGTGTCGGTACGTGTAATTTATGTTCTCGACGTTCCGCGCCCGTGACGGAATGGGATGTTCTCTTTATTGGGGAGAGCAAGGTCTAAACCATGTCCACTTTGAACTCGCATCAATGGGGGCACGCAGATCACCATGCTGTGGGGTGGACCCAGTTATTCCCATCTCCCGGTCAGGTGCACCCTAAATATGCTCGTAACACTCCAGAACAGAATCCTGTCGGCAGTTAATCAGCTCTAGTGCCATAGAATATACACCGACGTACACGGAAGCGCTCGCCTTGCATCAATCGATGGTCTCCATCTACCGTGGATCCATGCTACCTAGTCGGTTTTCGGGCTAGTTGCCGAGAACGCCAGGCCCCTCCGGACACTGTGCCACATACGCTATCGTCCCCCCCCCCCCCCCCCGGTGTCTGCCATCGGGGTTGGGTTTTCGTCGCGTGGCAACGACGTTGTAAAACAAGCCAATTCACTTCGTGAACTCTGGCAACCAGGTTACCGTTTTTTTTTACCTCGTTTTTTTTTTTGGCGGTAACCATAATGGTGGTCGAGTAGATTATGTTGTGCGGGGTCGAGAACCCTCACTCCGCGCAACGGGGGATGATCGCACCACGTTGTGTTAAAATGGTCAAGCATCCTCGAGGCAGTTACACAGTGCTTATAACTGTCTCTGGAAGTGAAAGCACCAGAAAATAAATTAAGTCATACGCAGCTGTCATCCGTACGCAAGGAAGTAAGCACAAGATGCCGAACACCCTTAGCAGGATGCAGCGCACCTTTCATGGGACTCGCCGAATACCTCACGGCGTTTCGCGTTTGGTGATGTGAGAGCCTGTTCCGGTGAGAACCCGGCGTGTTCCGTCCCGGTTTTGTAGGGATAGGAGGTCAATGGTCTAAGGACAACGGCATGCACGATTATGAGTACCCCCCCCCCCCCCCAGTAGCGGAAAAGGGCAAAGCGCGAGCAGGGAAGCTGCACCCAATACTTGCAAACCGGCACCTCGATACACGCATCAAATTGACGGTTTTGAAGAGCGTAATCGTACCGCCGCTAGAGTACGCCGGAGGAGTATGGGAAGGAAATAAGAAGGTAGTGAAAGAACTCGAGGCGGCGCAGATGAAAGCAGCGAAAATCATCCTAGGATGCTCCAAGCGCACAGGTAATGCAGCCGCCAGGGCAGAATTGGGGATCCAATCCCTACGGTCGGGAAGAGACGCAAGGAAGCTGACATGGCAGTATCGCATGAGCGGGATGGGAGAGGAGAGGCTGCCGAGAATAGTATGGGAGGCGAAGTGGGCAAACAAAAAGAGGGGTAGACAACCCACGGAATGGGTCAAGGTTGCAGAGGACGTATGGAAGGGGTTCGAAATCGACGAAGATGAAACGCTGGAAACGGAGGGTCTACAGGGTTTCAAGGAGAAGGTATCTGTTGCTTGTGCCGAGAGAGATGAACAGAATCTAAGGAAAGAAACCGAGGATGAGAAGGGTCTAGAAGTGTATGGAATGTTGAAAGAAGGAATAGGGTTCAAGGACTACCTACATGAACCAATGGATGCAGGGACAAAGCTTAAGGTCAAATTCAGGACCGAGGACATAGGCCTTCGAGAACGTCGACGAAGACATAGGACGGTAGACGACGAAGACGAGAAGTTCAAACGTGATTGCGGCTTCGAATGCGAAGACCGTGTTCATGTAGTCGCGGAATGTCCGTGGTACGAACAGGAGAGGGAAGTGTACATGACTGAGCTGGGAAAAATACGAGGGAGGTACAGGGAGATTTTTGAGGCATGGAATAAAGAGGAGAAGACGGTAGCTGTACTGGGGAGTAGGAAGTGGTTTGAAAAGGCGGGAAGGGATATCGTTAGGATAGACAGACTAGGGAAGACATTTTTGAGCCACCTTCGGCAAAGTAGGAAGGAACGATTGGCCATCGGTGATCGGTCCTGTGGGAACAATGCTCCGTCCTCTCGAGGACGCGTGGTCAATGGTCTAACCGCTAAGGCATGCAAAACATAAGAGTACGCCCCCCCCCC